CAGGAATACTAGTAACGCTTAGTGAACAAACCCATCATTGGTTTAATTGCACAGTAGGATCGTTATGGGTTACTTTCTTATACCAGCCTCTCTGGTTTTGAAAAAACAAACCACTAATCCTGGGGCCTGTGACCGTTCAATTTAAGTGACTTTAGAACAAAAAGAATCAACATCAACATTTTGCAAACTCTCTTGTAAAGTCTCCCAACATCTTCAAGAGACAGGCTCTCACAACTATTCCCATTTTTAAGCACAGGGGCAAGCTGAAATACTACATACCCTTCAAGGATTTAAGTGGCACAACCCAATATTTACTTAAGAAGTAGAAGCCAGGTATCGGGGAGCAGAACATAATGTGCACTGTGGTGGTGTAGTGGTTAGTGTCGGACTATGATCTGGGCGATCCGGGTACAAATTGCCACTCTGTGGTGGAAGCTTGTTGTGTGACCTTGGGCCAGTTGCACACCATCAGCCTGACCTACGTCACAGGGTGACTGTGCGGGTAAACTGAAGGAGGGAACACTGCCATGGGCTCCTTCGGTTTTGTAACAGGAACTGTATTTTGAATGGGGCATGAATTGGAGGGCTAGTGACAGCGGCTGTGCCCACTGCCCATAGCCAGGATTTTTCCATTTGGGGGGGCCTTTTAAAAAGCCGGGAGGCACTGAAATTCGCACACAGCCCCCACTTCTCCCCCAAAACATTTAAAGGGTCCCTTTTAAATGCTTTGAGGGAGAATTGGAAGGAGGCCACATGTGTGCCTGCTCCCCAAGCAGCGAACTGGCAGCTTGAAGTGCAGGTGAACATGTGGCCTCCTCTCTCCACTTCTCCCTCGAAGCATTTAAAAGGACCCTTTAAATTCTTTGGGGGAGAAGTTGGGGGGCCGCATGCCTGCACTCCAAGACGTGAATTCGTGGCTTGGAGTGCAGGCATGCATGGGGCCTCCCTCCACTTCTCCCCCAAGGCATTTAAAGATTAAATGCTTTGGAGGAGAAGTGGGGGCTGTGCGCTTGCACTCCAAGCTATGAATTTGCTGCTTGGGAGTGCAGGCACATGCGGGGTCTCCCCTGCTTCTCCCCAAAAGTCATGAGGCCTTGAGAGGGAGTAGGGGGGCCGGGCACCGGGGGCCCCACCACAGCTGACTCACTCCACAAGCCAAGCCCAAGGGGTAAGCAAAGCACCACTACCCCTTCTGTTAAGAGTCAGCAGAGGGACTTTGGGAAAGCTCTTCTGTAAACACTTCAGCTGCTGGTGACCATTTGCCCAAGTCTCAACTTGGCGAGTGGCTCAAGTGGTTAAGACGCTGAACTGCAGGCTGTGGAAGGTCAGTAGTTCACCAGTTCAAGACCCGGATGCCGCAAGACGGGGTGAGCTCCTGTCTCTAGTTCCAGCTCCTGCCAACCTAGCAGTTCGAAAGCAAGAAATTGCAAGTAGATAAATAGGTACCACTTCGGTGGGAAGGTAACAGCGTTCCGTGCGCCTGGTGTTTAGTCATGCCGGCCACATGACCACGGAAACGTCTTCGGACAGCGCTGGCTCTTCGGCTTTGAAACGGAGATGAGCACCGCAACCCTAGAGTCGGATTCGACCGGCTTTCGAGCAAGGGAACCTTTACAACTTGTATAAAGGACAGACCAACTGAGGTGCATAAAGCCTCTGCTACTGTTCATTTTGGGACAGAAGAGAGTGAAAAATGTCCTCTGTGCCTCAGATGAGATGCATAACAGTGCCAGTGTCACTCTGAAGAAGTGAGCAGTGACTCAGGGAAGCTCCTCCCCTGCCACAAGTTTTGTCAGTCTTTAAGGTGCAACTAGACTCTTGCACTTTTCCATTGTTACAGACAGACTAACACGGCTACTCACCTTGAGCGTCACTCTTGTTATATTCTACCTTTCCTTTCCTTTAAAGAACTCAAAATGGTTCACATGGTCTCCCCCCCTCAAAATGTCTCCATGAAATAGGCCTGGCTGAGAAACAGCAACTGGCCCAGAATTGCCCAGCAAGCTTCACGGCAGAGCAGGGATCTGAACCCGGGCCTCCCACATCCTAACACTACAACCAGGCTATGCAGGCCCTAAGCTTCCAAAAGCTTATCCAAAGTCCCAGCCCTCCAACACACATGGGCACAACGTCCTCTTTGTTAAACCAGACAAAACATCTGCTTTTATAAGCAGAAGGTCTGGAGCAGCAAGCACCTATCCCAACAATGAGTGCTGTACCTCAAGGGAGAGGGTGGGCAGTATTAGAACACTTGCTGGGACAGGAAAATGTATACCTTCTTTTAAAAAACAGACACTGCCAAAAGCACACCTCTGACCCTCCCTTTCCATTCACATTTGCTCAGAACAAAGCATATCCCCACTCACCGTCTCCTTCTATGCCGTCTTCGCTTTCCTGTTTTATACAAGAGAAAGAGAGAGCACACCATTACTTTACAGAGACGAATGCAGAAGAAAAACAGCTTAAATATGTATATATATTTTTGTCTAGAAGGTGCAAGAAGATTGAGCTGCAGGATGAGGGGGAGATGTGTTGTCACTAATCAAATTACAAAGTCTGTCAAATACTTATTACAAAGTGCACCTTTTATATTTGTCTTGAACAAGAAGCCAAGGAGCAGTAATTTTTCTCCCTCTCCCGAAATACTAGAACTCGAGGGCATCCAATAAACATGATGGGCGGTAGGTTCGGGACAAACAAAAGGCTAATTAATAGAAAACAGAGAGTGAGTATAAATGGGCAGTTCTCCCAGTGGAGGAGGGTAAGCAGTGGGGTACCACAGGGATCAGTACTTGGTCCACTGCTTTTTAACTTGTTCATTAATGATTTGGAGTTGGGAGTAAGCAGTGAAAGAGATGTGTTGTCACTAATCAAATTACAAAGTCTGTCAAATACTTATTACAAAGTGCACCTTTTATATTTGTCTTGAACAAGAAGCCAAGGAGCAGTAATTTTTCTCCCTCTCCCGAAATACTAGAACTCGAGGGCATCCAATAAACATGATGGGTGGTAGGTTCGGGACAAACAAAAGGAAACACTACTTTACACAGAGAATGATTAAAATGTGGAATTTGCTGCCAGAGGATGTCATGAGGGCCGCAGGAATAAACAGCTCTAAAAGGGGATTCGATAAGATTCATGGAGGGTAAGTCTGTCAATGGCTACTAGCCACGGTGGCTGAGGAGAACTTCCACATTCAGAGGCACTGAGACTCTGAATCACAGAGACAGGAGGCAACATCAGAGGAAGGCCTTGGCCCTGATGCCCTGTTGTTGGCCCTCCAGAGGAACTAGTTGGTCCCTGTGTGAGACAAGATACTGGATATATGGACTACTGGTCTGACCCAGCAAGGCTGGCTATTCTTGTGTTCTTACCAAGGGAAGGCCTCAGCCTCTACACCCTGTTGTTGGCCTTCCAGAGGAACTGGCTGGCCACTGTGTGAGACAGGATACTGGACTAGATGGACTACTGGTCTGATCCAGTAGGGCTCTTCTGACGTTCTTAGTAATTCATTTTTCCACCTTTCAGAAGATTAGCACAATGTTCCCATACCTTTTATCCATCTCTTAAAAGACTACTTGTATTACTTTATTTATCCCTTGGGCCTCTGGGGTCCACTAGGCTTCTTCTAGCAACAAGGTGACCTTCCTTAGGATATGCTGATACCAGCATATGCTGATGTCACCCAAGAAAAGCTGGTGGTGTCCACACAGCAAACCCCGGGTGCAATCACTGTTTTATCAAGTTTACTCATGGACAAGAGAGTTCCTCATTAGAGAGGCACTTGTTCTTCCAGGATATTCTGCAGTCACTTTAGTAAAGCAATGGTCCTCAACCCGCCTGCCACTACTCCCGGCTAGACGAGTAGCACCATAGGATGCACCACAGATGAACAGGTGGCTTGACAAGGTTCAGCTCTAAGCAGAAGAGAAGAGCGCTCTTCGTCAGCAGACCTCCTCACGAATGCCAACCTGTCACATCACAGGGCAGACCGGAGACAGCTCTTTGGGCTGCTCTTCAAGAACAAAAAGTGCAAACCTGTGAAGAGAAGCAAAACATTCCAGGAGAAATGAAGGGCATCTTTCTCCATCCTCCTCCAGGAAAATGGTTTCATCCAAAAGCAGGAAAAACCTATTATGTGAATTACACTGTCAGTGTCTTCTCTTTGGAAAAAGGAGTAGGCGGAGTCTGGAGGAAGGGCTGCTAAGGCCTGAAGCACTTTGGTACCTGCTGCCGTCTCCTTACTAACATTCATCTCCTCCATCTGTTCACCTCTTTTGAGCTGCATTATGCTTTGTAGTGATGCTTTCTTCCATTGGACTCTTATTGCTTGCACCCCCAAGCTACTACCTAGGTTTCCCAAGAGCAAGGGCCAGCCTCCCCCTTTGAGAACCGTGTCCTGAAAGAAACACAGAACCAGGGAAGCAGATGTCAAGAACACAACAGCAGCTAATTATTGTCCAACCAAGCAAAAGTTATTCCACTGCATCACAGAAGTGTCCAGTCTGGAGCGATAACCTATAGTTCCCAAGATAAGCTTGACATTTTTAGCCCAGATCTCACACGCTGGATACACACTAAGCCCAAACGACACACAACTGCTGGAGGAAAAAACAAGACTGTATTTTTGGACTTCTGACATTTCAGTATCCACAAAACAGGTTAGCCAGAGCCCTGCTTGGATGCGCTCAAGGGATAGTTAAAAAACACAAAATCAGACACGAATCATCCTTATATCTGGAGGCAGCCACGTGTGTCACAAAGGACTTCGCCTACGAACTATCTTTTGCAAGCTCCTCTACCCTAAACTATTCAACTCGCTGTCTGTTTTTTATCTTGCCTCTCTTAACACAACCTGCTCAGGTCATTTTCCATGCAGGACAATAAATGCAGCAGGACAATTATACAAATTTAAGGTTGAGCATGAAGACACTGAAATTGTTCAAGATTTTCTATTCTTTGGTTCCATCATTAACCAAAAGGAAGACTGCAACCAAGAAATCAGGAGGAGACTGAGAATGGGAAGGGAAGCCATGAAGGGGCTAGAAAAGATTCTTAAGTGTAACAATGTGTTGCTGATGACTAGCATCGAGTTAATTCATGCCACAGTATTCCCCATTACTATGTATGAGTATGAAAGTTGGGCAGTAAAAACAGCTGACAGGAAGAAAGTTGATTCTTTTGAAATGTAGTGTTGGAGGAGAGCATTATGGATACTGTGGATCACCAAAGACAAATAGGTGGGTTCTAGATCAAATTAAACTTGAACTCTCCCTGGAAGCTATGATGACTGAACTGAGGCCACATTATGAGAAGACAACAGTCACTGGAAAAGAGAATCATGCTAGGCAGCAGGAAAAGAGGAAGACCCATCAGGAGATGGATCAACTCAATCAAGGAAGCCACAGCCCTCAGTTTGCTAGACCCGAGCAGGCTGTTAACAACAGGGTGTTCTGGAGGGCATTAATTCACCATAAATTGGAAGCAACCAGTGTTCCCTCTAAGCTGAGTTAGCGTGAGCTAGCTCAGTTTTTTAGCCTCCGGCTCACACATTTTTGTCTTCGCTCAGGAAGGATGGCTCCAGATCAAACTGATTTATGCAGCAGCCAAATCGCTCGCTCACAACTTTAATGCTGGTAGCTCACAAAGTAGAATTTTTGCTCTCAGGATTCCACAGCTTACAGGGAGCATTGGAAGCAACGTAACGGCACTCAGCATACACACATGGATTAAATTTTTGTAGACGACAACATTTCAAAGTGTAACATCTCCTGGCTTAAAAAAAAGGTTAAAAAACCTCCCATCCACACAGTCTTGTTAAGCACCTCTTTATGCAATAATGGACTCCTTGGGGGGGGGGGGAATAAAAGGTGCTGAACATTGTCCTTTTCATAAAATAATCTAATGTCTACTACAGACCAGAGGGAAGGCCTGCACTGAGGGTTCACCAAGTGAGAGCAAAGCTGTTTCCCGGCCTTCTACACTAGAAACATTCTGCAGGTTTTAGACATGGAAATTCACAGTTGCCTTTAATAAAGCAAAGGTGATGACCCGCAGCAAGCATCACATACTGAGATGCCACCTTTGCACACATGCACATGACATAAAGCCACCAAGATCTGAGCTGCAGTTGTTTCACCTCACACGTTATTAGGAAAGATGAGCCACCCGTTCTTCTAAGGCAGAGGAGAGAATGCTGTTCAAGGGTACAGCATACACGTTGCATACAAGCCCTAGCAGGGTCTCAGGCAGGAGAAGTGGGAAAGACTGATTCCTGAGAGGACAAAGAAGCTGCTGTTAGCTGGAGTAAGCCATCAGAAAGACAAGTCACTCTGCACACATGCAGCACAGCTTCCGTGGAGCAGGCAATTTCTAATGTCCCTAAACAAACATCATTTGGGCCTGGTTTCGGGCAGGTAACCATGCTAGTCTGTAGTAGCAGAACAAAGACCAGTAGCACCATAAAGACCAACAACATTTCCTGGGTATTAGCTTTTGATCTGACAGTGAGATTTGACTCAGGAAAGCTTACACCTTACAAAGTTTTGTTGGTCTTTCAAGGTGCTACTGGGCTCAAATCTTGCACTATCATTTGGGCCTGGAATTCTTAGGCCCTGGGAACTAAGCTGGGGGGGAACCACTTTCCCCATGCTCAAAAGTGCATCTCTTATTGACACAGCAGTCTGCTTCCGCTCTTCGGAAAAGTGACATAGTTTAGTCCTGGAATCATTACTCTAGGAACTAGGCTGCAGGGAAACCACTCTGCATATACTCAGAGGCACTCATCTCTTTTAATGGAGCAGGTGCAGCAGCAAGGGACTGACAAAGCCTCAGCTCACACTGCCTGGAGCCAGATTATGCAAAACTGAACTATTCAAACAAGCTTTTCTGCACAGGTAATAAGGGCTTTACTGCACAGAACAGTTCACACACTTACTTGGATAAACTATTAAGGACTACTGATCCATACTGCTGCTGTACAGGGCCCCTCCCCAATCTGTAACGCCCCCACCCAAATCTTAAGCCATGCCAGGGTGGCAGCAGCAGGAGGTGGTGTGCCGGAAGCAGCGGGCAAGCAGGCTGCCAGATGATGGAGGAGGAGAGGCATTGTCTACACCCAGGGTTCCACGTGCCTTCCCTGCCCAGTGGCGATGTTGGACTTGGAGCAGTGTGCTGCAAGGGGGTGGGGTGGCTGGTCCTCAGCCCCATGGCCATCCACTGCAGCTTGCTCACAGATAGGTCAGTGCTTTCCACCCCTCCCCAGGAGGAATGCTGAGGAAGAGGACCCAGTACCCCGAGTCGAGGAGGAGACCCAGACCAAGGTTGCCCTCCCACTGTAAGCGAGGAAGGAGATTCAAACTCCCCGCTGCCACCACGCTGGCCGGAAGGTGGGGTAAGGAGCTACTCCTCTCCCTCCCCTGCTCCTTTAATTTAATAAGCACCCCCTAAAAAAAAAAACCTGGTTATGCCCCTGCAGCTGTATATAGCTTTGTGTAAGTAGAATCCTGTTTATGTAACTTGACTGCTATATATATTGTAAGTAGGATCCTGCTTATGTAACTTCGGTACTGCTTAATATGTCAAGTGAATAATTATGCTATGCTTCAGTCCTAATGCACTGGACATACTGAATGTCCCATCGGTTGTGACTGTACTGACTTGCTATATGTAATCCTCTTTGAGTAAAAGTGAGAAAAGCAGACTATAAATAATAGAATAAATAAGTAAATAAAAACCAGAATGTGGCTGAGCTGGTTGGGAGGTGAGCAGGCCCATACCTATGGTGGGGCTTTGGGGGGCTCTGCCCCCTTTCTTAAAGGCAAAGCCCCACAAGAATTTCTCCTATAAATGCCTTCTTCAATCATTAAAAAAAATTGTGCTCTCCTTTAAGCAGGGTTGGATGCTGTAGTTGACTAATTCCCGCACTGAGCAAAGGGGTTGGAGTAGGTGACCTCTAGGATCCCTTCTAACTCTTGTGTCTAGAAACTGGTCTCCTTTAAGAGAGTGTCAGCTTTCTTGACTCCAGAAGTCCTCACACCCCCACCTGCTGGCTTGTTCTCAGGACTGTTGCTTAGGTCGGCATGCAGCAGCTGAGAACTGTCCTCTAAAGTGGTTGACAGACTTGCAATTTGGAGCTCTAGCCTGGTAACCGCTTCCTATAGGCTCGGTGGGTTTTCTCCCCGCACTGAGAACTTCAGCCCCACCATAAATAAAACTGCCCCACAAGCCCCCAAATCCCGGCTACGGGCCTGGAGACGACCGGGAACGAACGAACGAGTCACTCCACGAACGCTCGGCGAGACCCGGGGCTGCAGCGTCCCATTCGAGCGGGAGGCCGCGGCCTCTTGCCTGGGAAGCGGGCTCCGTCCTCCCCGCTACTCACACACTCCGAGTCGGCCGGGCTGGCTCCACCAACCACCGGCTCGGCGGCGACGGCCTCCTCCACCACCGCTTCCGCGTCGCCTTGGCCGCTCCCGGGAGCGCCGGCGACCGACCCGGCCGTGCCGAGGCGGTGAGTGCCGCGCGGGGAAGGAGCGCCGCTGCCGGGCGGCGAGTCAGACTCGTCCTCTTCGCTGCTGTCCTGCGAGGCTCGTTGTCGCCGACGGTCCGCCATCTTGACAGGAGGAGGAGGAGGAGAAGAAGAAACCAGAAGCGAAAACGTTTCTGAGGAGAAGGAGGCGGGGTCGACCACGGCGCGGGGGGAATGACGGGTAAAGGAGGCGTCTTTCTCGGCCGCGGAAAGACTACAATCACCGGCATGAAGCGCGCGCGCGCGCTTCCCCCCTCCCTCCTCCCTTTTTTTTCCCTCGCGCGAACTCCTAGAATCCCGTGCTTCTCAACGCCGATACAGCTTTAAGGGAACGGGGGAGGGGAGCCTCGCCCAATGACGGCGATGCGGTGACGTCAAGAGCGCGCGGGCTCTGCCACCCCCCCCCTCTGCGCGCCCCTCCGCCCAGTTCCAGGGGCGGGAAGGAAAAGGGGACGCCTCGGCAACAGCGTCAGGTGCTCGGCTAGCCGCGCGGGCGGTCGAGACGTAGGTGCGTAGGTTTGAAATGACGTCTTCGCGTTGCGACAGCTGCGTCGCATTCTCCTGGAGTCGTGTGCGGCAAGAACACCGCAAAAGGAGAGGGGGGGGGGCCCTGTGCATATTGCGGCAAACTAACGAACCACGTGGCGCCTCAAAGGCCAACAGGGCTTTAAACAAGCCCGGGGGGGGGGGCGCCTCCTTGTTTTATTTTTGGCTGAGTGGAGCCCAGTTTTACCTGCCAGGTGTGGAGAGCCAGGTAGCCAACTCCGGGTTTGGAAATTCCTGACGACTGGGGTGGGGGGTGGGGACTGGTGGTGGTGTCTGGGAGGGCAGTGCTCGGGAAAGGTAAGGAGCTCAGCAGAGATGTCATGCCAGCGAAGTCCACCCTGCAAAGCGGCCATTTTCTCCTAGGAGGGGGACACGCTTAGGTAGGCGACATGGTAGGCTGGGCCGGGGTGGAAGAGACAGCGGCGTTGAAGGGCCACGAAGTAGCGCAGGGTGAAGTGCGGATAGTTGAGATTCAGATTTAAGAAAGAAAAATGTTAAGACCGTTCGGTAGTTACATTTAGCTAGGATAGAGTTAGGATTCTCCATCACTGGCCCAGCACAGCGCATATGCAAAGACGCAATGTCAACGTGTACAAACCCTCCCTGTGATAAGCAACACAGCTTTCTAAGCATGCTGTTCACTGGGAAGGAGCATATATGTGGACCCTGCCTCAGAGCCAGCAATGATGGGGGGGGGAGCACTCTTATGCCCCTTCTGCCCTTCAGGCAACAGATGGGAGGGGCTGTGTGTACAAGGCTATAGAGTCAAGCTGTTGATACCTCTGCCCCACAACTGAAGCAAGGCTGCTATCAGATTTCTCCAAAGGTTTGAAAGCCGAGGTCCTTTCTACTGGAGTTGGAGGGACTGAAACTGGGTCTTGTTCTACCATCAAAGGATGGCTCTGCCTCATCAAACCTGACATCATGATAACTATGTTAGTATTTAAGCTGTTACAGGAGTCTTTATAGTTTGTGTGTGCAACTGCTGTCTGTGAAAAAGTTATCTGGAGTCAGAGAATGAAACTACCTCCACAGTGGCGGACTGTCATTCCCAGAATTTTACTCGAGCTGTCAACCGAGGCTCAAAGCATGACAAAAGCATTCATGTTTTTCATTTTATTGTAAAAAAAATGATTTGTTCCAATTTTGTTTTAAACATACAAGCAGAATTCCTTTTAATACTCCCTGTTAACACTGTTAAACCTAAATGAACTGAAGCAAAAATTAAAAAAGGCAAACATTAACGGCCACAAATCTGGTATTTACAAATGTTTTTTCTTTATAAGATATTTACAAGACAACTGATTTTACATATTTAAAATGGTATCAAAAAGGATGCGTTTGCACTGCAGACAACCACGTGTCAAGGGCAGAAAAAACAAGGGGGGGGGAGTACAGACACTGCTTTTAGAACTACAGTAAACTTGGTTAAAGAAAGGAACATTTTGTTTTAAACAAAAACCAGATCTAATGTGCAAGGGTATTTCATTAATATGAATTTCACAGTGCTGTACCCTCTATAGGGAGAAAAGAGTATTCCTTTCCCCCACTGCCGGCTAACATCCACTGCAAACTCTTTGTACAACCCCCCCTAACTACTTTTGCACACCTTCTTCTGATGCATGTGTTAGTATTTAATGGGATTCTTCATGAAAGCCAGCATACTGACTGGCAAAGAGGGAATATTCGCTTTTATTTTCCAGGTACACAGGACTGTGGCAGTTCCAATAGAGTCATCTTTCGGGCTGTGTGATAACTTTTGCCTCTCCCCCCCAAAAAAACAAGATCCAGTT